GCAGTGTTTTCATGTACAGCTGTGAAGTAGCTCTACACGCACTGCAGCCTGCACAGCTCTGCTCAGTGCTGCTCATGTGACCGCAGGGCGACTAATCACAGCAGAGCAGGGAGGTGGCTGCAGACATGCCTGTTGTCTGATGAATGGGTACAACACTGAACAAACTTAAGTACTGATCTGATGCCAATACCTGTGTTGCCACCGATACTGTCGATACTTGGTCAGTCCGCCCGCCTCTACAGCCCGGCGTGTCCTGGGTCTGCACTGGGGTCTCCTCCGATTAGACCAGAAACTCATCATGAGGAGGCGTCCTGTTCAGATGCTGAACCTGCCTCCTTTTTATGTGGAGGAGCAAATCTGCTCTGAGCTCCTCCTGAACTCCCGTCCCTGGAGCCCCTCTGGAAGCTCATTCCCACGCTCGTGCTCACGGGTGAGGGCAGGAACGTAGAACGAGCTGTAAATCTGCAACTTTGCTCTCAAAGCTCGACACAAATGTCTGTCAATCACCCGCTTTGCTCTCCTCCGACTCGTGAAACTCATCCCAGCCTGGAGTGGACCTCCACCCCAGCAGAAGGTGATGTTAAAGCAGCAAGTAGCTGTTTGACAGCTCCGATCTATGGAGTGTGAAATTAGATGTTGGTGCTAAAGATCATGGGTTAATGTTTACATGTTTGATGGTTCAGATGTTGTCTTCAGCTGAAGCAGAGAGATAGAAATGGTGATATAGAGGAATAGAGAAATAGCTATTTAATATTTCAATTATTAATAAATGAGGATTTTTATGAGTTATTTTCATGTGACAGTTGGGAGAAAATTACAGAGCTGCTCGTTTATCTCTGTGTTCACAGCTGGTCGTTCGGGGTCCTGCTGTGGGAGATCTTCACCCTCGGGGGGTCTCCGTACCCCGGCGTCCCTGTCGAGGAGCTCTTCAAGCTGCTGAAGGAGGGACACCGCATGGAGAAACCATCGGCGTGCCCTCAGGAGCTGTGAGTATATCATCACATCAAACACTTCAGTCTGACACTTAAGCAGAGGAGCCGGTCATTCCTGGAAAACTCAGCAGAAGAGACAGCTTCATTAAATGCCAATATCTGAAAACATGAGACCTGGAGGATGAGCCGACTTTAAAAATCCAACATTTACCACTTTTATGCTCTAAATTCACTTGAAACTAGTCAAACAAGTATCTCCAGACAGCTGCAGCTAACAAACCTTCTGCCAAATCTGAAGGTCGCTTGTGTAGTCGCACGTGACTTCATGTAAATAAGGAAACACAAGTCAGAGACACAGCTGCAAACATCTGTGATCAAAAGAGGATATTTTGTTTTATTTGGTATTGTGTTCGTTGATGTGTTGATCCGACCTGCGCAGTAAAGCGTGTGTTGCATGGTCTCAGGTATCTGATGATGCGGGACTGCTGGCATGCCGTCCCGTCCCGCAGGCCGACCTTCCAGCAGCTGGTCGAGGATTTGGATCGAACTGTCTCCATCATGGCCAACCAGGTGACTTGTCGTTTCTTTGTTAAGGAGTAAAACCTGCAAATGTCCTCCACTTCAGCTGTTTCTCTTCAGTTGGTCCCTCTCGTTCCTCTTTAAACATTTAACTGATGGGTGGAGCACTCGCTAACCATCAGGAAGACTGAGACAGATATTTTATTATTTCTGTAAATTTAAAGTTATCTGTGAGCTCCTGTGAAATTTATACCACAGTCTGTGTTGGTTTCCTCTCATCTTAGTTGCAGTTGGCTAACGCAGAGCTGTGTGACTGCCTCAGTGCTGAAGCCTCTGCTGGACGTCAGAGGAACTGCAGCTTTGCTTTGAACTTTCAAAAACGTCATGATTGTATTCATTTATTTGAAGCGGCGTGGGTCTCTTGGCGAGAGAGCATTGATGTGACGTTTAACAAAGAAAAGTTAGAAGCGAGTTTTGGTGTCATGTGACAGAGCTAAAGTCTCCAGAGCTTCCACTTCCTGTTCTAACGTGTGATTCTGCCTCTGCAGGAGTACCTGGACCTGGCCGTCCCTCTGATCCAGTACACTCCGGTCCAGTACTCCCCGGTCAGCGCCTCCTCAGCTTACTCCTCCATCTCCACATAATCCTCCCGGGAGCCATTCTCCTTCCTGAATCATCTTCCTCCCATTTCCTGCACAGCGGTGGCGGTGGCGGCCCTGGGACGAGCTGCTTGGCTGCGGCCTGATGTGAAGAACAGCTGGACTGAGCTGAGATCAGGAAACAGCACGGACTGACGAGATGTCCTCAGTGTGAATATTGTACATAAAGTTTGTCTCATCTGAGAAACGGGACATGAAAGGGTCAAGGTGGGAGCGAGAGTCTGTATAAATGTATAAATGTGTAAAACTCAAATCTCCCTGATGCTCCTGAATGCCTCGTTTATGGATTTTCTTTCTTGGATCTGTAAAATAACTGATTAACATATTAAAATATCAGAGTTTTTAATGCTTTGTGGATTAAATGTGAGTTATTCTTTAGAATAACTTCATGAGCAGCTGTTTGTTTCCTCAGAAAGTGAAACGATGAGTCTAAGGAAGCACGGACATTAGAAAATGTCTCTGATGATTGATTTTTTTTTCTAGTCTTTGTTTTTCGTCATAATAACTAAGGTCAGCTTTAGTTTGAGCTGTAATAACTTTGATCACATCATCCTGGTGCAGACGAGAGGATCGGTTGCAAGCGCGTTCATAAATGGTTTCTTATAAAGTTCTGTCTGAATATATATTTGAATGATATTGGGTTTGAGATGGTGTGGCGCAGAAGGACGGCCTCAGAAGTGGAGGCCCCATTGATGAGGAGAGTCTTCATCATGGCTCACACAAACATGGTGTTTTGCTCCCACAGAGAGGAAACCTGATGGTGTTTCAGGTGCTTGTCTGTCTGCTTCAGCCTTTTTGACTGATGGGTGGATGGTGACACAGCCGGCTGTAGCTGCTAGCTGTCTGCTAACTTCACCTGAACTGGACCATGTTTGTGCTGTTGGAGCATTTTTAATGACATCATCTGATCAATAATATGGCAGCTGTGAGGTTACTGTACTAACAGACTGTCCAAGAAGGTGGAACCCCAGGTTTGCTGAGTAACATCTGAGGATTTTGATTGAATGTCACACTGATTAGCAGGTATTTATGTGTGTGTCATACACCTGTATAGTCTGTGGATTCAGTTTGTGTATGAAGATGAAAAGAGGTGGTGAACTTATAAAAGTGATCCTTTTCTTTGATCAGATGAGGAGATGGTCATGGTCATGCTTAAAGAGCTTATCTCAGGTGTGTGTAAGTGTGTCAATGATGGTGAGGTTACAAATACTGGGCTAAGATGAAGGTGGTGTAGGGTTTGCTTTAGTAAAGGCAACATTAGATCCTCTAATCATGCTTCAGTTTGTTCTTCATGTTCTGTATCATTGATCTGATCTTGCAACATTAAATATAACAGAGTAAAACTCTGACCTTAAACTTCATTCACCTCACCTGTTCTCTTGGGGTCTAACCCTCTCGTTTCACTTGTGCAGAGGCAGAAACTTCGGTAAAAACAGAGCGCTGTGTTTCTGGTTCCAGGAAAAGCCTGATGGAGGCTAATCATCCAGACTAGTGAGCTGAAGACCCATCGTTACCTTCAGTGACAGATGGCTGAGGGTTGCTCACATTACACCTGCAGGAGTGTGGATGTGACTCTGGGTTACCTGTGAACGAAGGTTCTTTCATGTGGTGTCAGAAAAATCAGGAAAACCAACATTTCACTGGGAAACAGTGATGAAGGACACCATAAACCATAAAGAGCAAAACATTCTCTGTGATTCAGAGTTTAATTGTATCTTCAACAGATGAAGATGTGATCAGCACCAGCCCTGTGGGCTTAGCAGGCCACAAAGTACAGCTTTGATATCGATATCCATCTTACTAATTTCAGTTTTTACAGAACAAATCAGCCTGAATGACATGACCACACTGTTCACGCTGTAGAAGGACTGCTATTGGTGAATGATCACCAGAGTAAAGCCCCACACTGAACTGATACCTCAGCCCTGAAAGGCCCAAGCACTCCCAAAAAGGGGACTTCAATCAAAAACAAAATAAAAAAGTGATTGATAATCCAAATCCATATTACCATTTTATTGAATTTATAACATGAAACCAGGTTGTTCATGTAAACAAGCTCAGTTATTTATTAGAAGTAGTGAAGTGATCATGTTGTTTAAAGGTCCTTACAATAAGCTCTTAATTCATCAGAATCAGAATACTGTAATAATCCCTAAAGAAATTAATGAAGAAACAACTGCAGACACAACAACATAAATTAGGCTGGACACTGCTGTAATACCAATTTAAACCAGAAGGTGTCAATGTAACCTCAATATAACCTATTGAGAGAAGTATTTCTCACTATAAGATTTGACAAAATAAGTATTTAGCATGACATTTTGGGGATTTTACTGGCTTCACAGCTTGTGTTTCCTTGCAGATGTTAAATGTAACATATGAGCTAAATTATAAACTTCACGTAAACAACCACAAAAACACCACAGAATCAAAGGACCTGCCTCCCCACAGGAACGAGCACACATACAGTCATGCTTATCTAAGAAGTCCAACAGAAGCAGCAGGGAATCAATCACTGCTGTGATCAGTGAAGCAGTTTCCTCCAATAATCAATAATATCTGTGATCAGAAGTCGATGAATGTGCTGTTCTTTAGCTACCTACCGGTAGGATCTGCTGCAGATCGATATCAGATCTCTAATGCTCTCTTTACATTTTAAAGAGTCCTGAGAATGAGACTTTGGACGAATGTGGGTTATTGGGTAATTATTGATTATTGATTACTGGTATAAATGCTGTCAGTAAAGTGGTAATCAATGAGAGGATCATTCAGTGTTTATGAGTTTCCTTTAGTAATCTGTGAGGGTGATTTTAAAAAAACACGATGCACAGTAAACAAAGTATCAAATGAAAGATTTATTCTTATAACACATGTCATTACACATAAAGGAGCCAATGTGAAAGAGGTCAAATGTAGTCAGAAAAGAGCTGCAGAATCCAGATCAGCGAAGCACAAACCTCCATCCATCCACCAGCAGCTACACAGCAGGAGGCTTCAACGCTCAGGTGAAGTCTGAAAAAAGTCTGCAGAAATGACTGCAACTGTCTGAACTTTGGGCTCACATGGATGACTGTGCTGAGATTATTATCTGAAACTCTGAACATCCACCACCAGAACTGAAGATAAACAACAGACTTTTTAACAGAACTTGAGAGGACCACTGACATAAACTAGGTCCAGTACTGACATGTGTGGGCTGAAGAGCAGTGGACTGGAGAAGACCTCTGGAGGAGCCGCAGCGATGCTTCTGCAGAGTGAAGCGAGGAAAAAAGCATTTAAAACCAGATCTGCTCGCTTCACAGAAATCTCACAGCTGAGGGCTCCCTCCTCTGAGAGATGGCGCTCTCTGTGTAAGGTATGATAAGCTCGGTAAAGAGAAATGCCATTTTGGGGGGGGAATTACCACCTCCATTAAAATGTAACAAAAGGTTCCCAACCATCGTGAAACCATAGGGGAAAGCGTCAGCAGTGCTTTTCCCTAATCCCTAACGCAGTGTTTGCTAAACACTGAACAGGTCGGCCCACAGATCAGTGTTTGAGTCAGGACCGATCCCACCCCAATGCAAACATCAGGTAAACAGAATCGCCCTCTGGGAAATAATCGTTGCACACCTTCTATTATACAGGCATCCATTAGCAATGTTGATGTGATGTAGCTACCAATGATTGGTTATTTCTTTCTAATTGGTAATTAGTTTGGGTAGTCTGTAAAATTAACTCATAATAAACTAACAGTCCTTATTTAATATCTTGTCTTTTCTAAAAATTAGGCCTTTGTTTTCCGCCATTACCAAATTACAACACAAATAATAAGCATTTAACATCTAGCTTCCTGTCTGCCCGTGTATTTTATAATAGACGAACTACAGCATCAAAATGACTTGATTTGGGAGGTAACCAGCATGTGGTTAACATGAAACCCTAACCATAATCCTACCCAGAAGCAGCTCACCAGAGACCAGGTGGGCATGAACAGGTGAACAGAGAGAGATTAGGTCACATACCATCGATCACTATGAGCCATACAGTGTGACGAGAGACTCCTTCAGAGTTGCTTGCCAGGCAGGTGTACTCTCCAGCATCAGCCAGAGTTACGTTTCTCAGAGTCAGCAGTGATTCTACCTCATAATCCATCGCATTCAGATCCTCATCCTGTGAGGGAGAGGGACATGGATATCACCCAAACATGTTTCACTCAAAAGGTTCCAATCAAAGCTGGTCGATACAGCTCTAAACACTGGGTCAGGAGTCTCAGAGAACTTTAAGAGTGTGACACTAAAGGCCAGTTTACGCCAGTTAGTTTACTTTTCTTTTAGTATGGGACTAGACTCGGTCCATGTGTGGGAAAGGAAAAGAAGGAAAAGTAATCCCGTGGTTTAGTGGCATATCGTGGTGATATGCAGGTAAGAGCGCAGTAAACTGTAACACATTATACAAGTCTTAACTTCTACCCATCCATCATCTCTGGAACCCTCCTGAGCCGAGACATCCTTCAGAGGGAGTTCTTTTCCACCACATTTGTCTGCACTCTTATGCCTTTGGTCCAAGGCCACAGCTCATCATCACAGATCATGGTAAAAATATAGATTACAAGTAAATCAACGGCTTTACCTTCACCCAGCACAGCAGACATTTCACCAAACTCTCTATGAATGCCCTACTTCACTTTACTCTGGTTTGGAAGGAAACTAACCAGAGTGGGCAATCCAACATCTTCTGGATAAAAACTGTTGCGTCAAATTTGGAGGTGCTGATTCTCATCCCTGCCTTCCTGATGAATCTGAATTTGAGCAAAGAGGTGGAGTCTTTGCCAGTACACCAGCATAGCATCTGACTGCTAATAGGTGATTTGTCACCCTTGTCCCCTCACCTTCCTCTACAGAAACGGTGGAGGAAGGTGACCCCATTTAAGGTCAGCAGCTGATCTTTGGATGGTTTGAGAGCGACTAAATGTCCTGCTTCATGGCTTCACCAACATGTGAGTTTTTGTCTTAGTGACACCCAAAGCTATACTCTACCCTCCCATACATGTCAGCTGCCTCCAGAGGCTCACAAGCTAACTAAAATTTGATAGGACTCCTTCTACTGCATCTCTGGTGTCCACCAGGTGGTTTGAGGGTTGATGTTGCAGCTCCAATAAGACACCTCTTTAATAGAGAGGTTTAAGCCCAAATGGGATAATTTAATAGAAATTGTTTATTTGGGCTCAGTGTCCCATCCTCGAAATACCATTTTAATTCTGGAGGTTGCAACTGTCGATCTTCCTGACTGTTGCCTATAAATGTTTTTTGTTTTTTTTTTATGTTTGAATGTGTCAGGCCTGCCCGGTACCCTCCCTAGCCACAAAGCAGATGACAGCTCAGCTCCAGTCTTCACTCAAGTGGTTGCAGATGTGATGACAGAGAATGTGCATCTTTGGAGCTGGAGCTGCAGTTCCCATTCATTTTTTCTGCCTGTTACACTCATGCACAAAAACTACGAGCTTGGGTTTAGAAAAAGATCACGGTTTGATGACGTTAACCCTTACCCCACCATGGACCAGAATAACATTAATCTAGCTTCAAAACACTTTGGAGACATAAAATAATTCTAACATAAGCCTGTAGTGCTGCCTGATTGTGGTGTACGTACTTTGGGAGGACGAACAAAGGGAAATATTTCTATGTCTTCTTTGCTGCCATTGATCACGATGTGTTTGAACCACCGTATGTAAGGCTGTGGGTCACCCATCACTGCGCACACAAGCTCCACATCACTACCAACAACAGCGATCCGGTTACCCTGCAGCCCAGCATGCAGGTCTGGCTTTTGAGGAGAACGCTCTGTAACAAAACAAGGTTTAAGGTTAGCATGATGCAAGATCATACAAACGACTAATGTCCACAGAGAGCAGGAGGAGACCGATAGCCATTCTGTTTGCCTGCAACATGAGGATGTTTAGTCTGGATAAAGTCTTTATGAAACTCTGTACGTTTTGTAGTTTACTGACAATATGTTTGTCCACTTAGTAAGTACTTAGAAAATGCATTAATGTTATTACTAAAGCTCACTGTGCCATAGTTTAGTGATATTGACTTTTTATGTGGTTATATTTGAAATCTCAGATTTGGAGGGAGTTCTGTGTTTCTTTCACATGGTCACATTTTAATGTTAGGTGTATTTGATATATTGTTGTTGACTTTGTTCAGTGAGCTTTAATGCGGTTTAAACAAAGAATACGCTTGGGACACCTCTACAGCAAATCAGCACTTTATTCACTCCAACATTTCCACTCTTATACTTCTCAAAGTGCTGTAATTTTATTTTTACTTGTTTTTTTTT